ACCACTTGTAAATATGATGTAAGCAATATCATTAGGTGTCACTGTAACACTTGATAGCCGATCAACATCACCATCGCTCATTACATCATTATTAGCGAATCTTGAATGAATATCAATCGTAAGAGTATCATCGCTAAACTCCGTTTTCGTTAACCAATGAACAAGTACAAGACGACTTTGAGTTTGTTGTACAAGTGCATTTAAACGATGTTGTGGATCTCGAGGTGATAATGGACAATAGACACCACCAGCCATTTCAATTCCCATAATACCAATCACCTAATCAAAATCAATCTCAAACTCATATTAATTGTTACTCATCTTAATCAACTTACCATTGATAAACTTCTCTCAACACACTGACACACGATTTCACCTGGAGAGATATGATATTCATTAAGAAGAGTTAAAGATAAGGTTTGAACATAATACAACAGTTCACAATATGTCAATGATTGTTCATCTAGTTCAACAGCTAGTTTTTGTGGATGTTTCATTACTTGACATACAAACTCATGATGAATACAAGTGAGAGGAAAAGATGAAAATGATACTTGTGTATTATTCAATGATTGCATTAGATATTGTTCATCTGGTAATATTAATGATAATTCATGAATAGGTTTGTTTGTTTTACTATTAAAAGATGTGAATTGTTGATATAACATTGTCTGTAATCTTTGTGCAATTATACAGATTGTTTCAGCATTGAATAAATCAACGGAAGCATTAACGGTACATGAGAATTTATTTAGATTCAGATCATGTTGAAAAGTAAGAATAAAATCAAATTTACTCATGATTTCATCTTCACTAATAGTAATTGAATAAGGTAGTAAAGAAAATCGACTATCACCGATCATTATTTCATTCTTCTCATCTTTTGTCGTAGATGATACAAAGTCAAATGATGTATCAAGAAATACAGGAGTTGATATATTTGGATGTTGATTGAGAATATGTTGAAGAGGAAAATAAGAATACTTCATACAGTTTATCATATCATCTTGAACATGCTTAGTAATGTTATTAAATGATAAATGAGGATCTAGTTGACATCGCAAAGGTATAGCATTCACAAACATTCCAATGATAGATCCAAGTTCATCTCTATATCGATCTTCTGTATTTATTCCAATGCATAAATCTTTTTCTCCATTTGTTAATTTGAATAAAAACACATAATAAGTAGCAAGTGCAAGATGCTCCAGTGAAATGTTATTTGATGATGCATGAATAAGAAAGTCATGTGATAGATCTTGACCAAAATCAAAAGAAACCGATGTTCCACGACCAGTTCGGTGTTCATTTGAGAGACGATATCGATCAAATGGCAATGATAATGGCTGATCGAGTTTACAATCATGAAGAGCATCAAGCCAAAACATACTTGCACCAGTCATTGGCATTTGTTGCTCAATAACAGCATCTATTTTATAATTAAAGAAAAGAATGTATTAGGAAAGAGTGAAGTAGAAGTAGTATTTATATTTACAATCGAGATAACGAAGATTAGTGTTGTTATCATATAATAATTGGCCTGTTGTATATGCTTGATTAAGATCATGATGAAAAACTTTCATTGATGGAAAGTCAAATAGAGCATGATGAAAGTTGAAAATAAGTATATCTTTGTCAGAAAGAAGATGATTTGAAGAGATTTGTTTGTAATAAATAATATGACATCGAAAGACAAGACCATGAGCAAGATCAAAAAGATGAGGATTACGTTTTTCATCATGCATAATCTCAGTGAGTTGTTTATCTGTTTCATAAGTACTTTCGATAACTGAAAGCATTTGTTTATGATCATTGTTCAGATCAATGATTCGTTGCATGATTTGGTTCTTTTCTGCGTTGAAGACAAGCGATGTACGAAGTGATTGATGTTTTAAGACAATTAGTTGGAGGGCATGAAGTAATCGTTCTATTGATAAAGTATGATCTGGTTGCAGACGATAAACAAAAGGCATATTATAGATTGCTACTTGAGGTTTATCAGGATCGAATCGAATTCTTTCGTCAAGCCATATACGAGCTTGTGCATAGGAAGCTGGTGCTGAAACAACGAAACTTTGGTATTAATAGTTTATTTATTTTGATTTAATAAATAGAAACTTAAGATTTTTGGAATTTGAAATTACTTATTATAAATATGAGTAACACATTGAGCAGCAGACTATTTTTCTATTTAAATCGATGACAGTGTTAGATAATAATCATATTAGAAGGTTTTCGTATAAATATTTTTCTAAATTCTAAAGGCATGTAAATCGTAGCAATCGAACACGAATGAAATGAAATAGTTTTTGTATCTAGACGCAGCCGACATGAAATTTTAAATAAAGCTGAAAAACTAGTGTCTGTCTATGTCAGATTCGAACAGGTATATGATCATCATAATACTATAATAGTCTTCGCCTAATTTGACAAATGGATTGAATTTTAACTTTTATGATCGAAGTTAGATTTTCTGCTAGCATAGGCACAGTCTCGCCAAGCGTTTCATGATCAGTGTTAGACCAAAAGGCTCCTGAAAAATATAAAGGCTAAAAACATTCCACAATGAGCTTTGATCAGTTGAGGGTGGATGATGTCGTCACTAATTATAACTGTCCATAAATAGGGGAAGTGTTTAGTTGTAGTATTTCGATTTGGTTATTGTAGATCTTGAAAACTAACTTTAGTTACTCTTTATTTTAGGGGAAAAGTATTTGAACTTCGACCGTTTATTCTACAATCTAGATGTTGAAAATATAGAGAAGTATAGAATATATCCTTTTGTGTTTCATTATTTTTACCGAATTTTATTCTTTTGCTCAGTATTTGACGAATAAGATTTTCAGAGAAATTATTGTAAGAAGCCTTATTATATCAATATGAATTTCATTGTTATACATACCTTCATTTGCAATAGTCGGTAATCTGTGAAAGATTACGTTATGTATTTCTTCGATTTCTTCGGGTAAAATAAGGGATAAGTTGTTGATGGATATACTGCATTGATTATAGATTGGCACGCCAACAATCGAAGAACAAAATAGTTGTGTAAGTATATGCTGAAAGCGGGTTGCAAGTTTATTAACAATAGCTTGATTTTGAAATATTTCAACTGCACAGTCAATAACACATTCTGTAGTTCGCGTATGATGTTCATGTGCTATTGTTACACTCATATCGAATGTAGATAATCCATTACCGCGACTTCGATCTCGATCATAGTATATACCAATAACTGAAGCTTTATCTACAGTTAATTCCATTGTAGTTTTTTGCGTCGTAGATGACATTAAAGAGTCATATTGAAAGAATGTTGATGGCAATCGCTGATGTTTTTGTTTATCGTGTAGAGCAATAATCTCTTGGTATGGTAGAGACGCATGTTCCAAAATATCAGTACTTAGTTGTTGCACTTTTCGCACGAAATGATTAAATGATTTATTTGGCTCAATTTGTATTCGATATGGTAGAATATTAACAAACATGCCGATCATTTCTTTTGTTTCTTGGTTAAAACGATTAGCTACAACACTTGCTACGCATAAGTCCTCTTCGTTATTGAGTAACTTGAATAAGAACGCATAGAAGGAGGCAAATGCCAGCGAAAACATCGTAATGTTATTGGATGAAGCAAACATCATCATGGCATCGACAACTTGTTGATCAACGACAAATACAGTCGAATAACCACGACCAGAACGAGTTTGATCATGTTTAATTTCGGTAGGCACGAAGACTCGTATGCGATTCCAATCATAACCATGCATAAGATCGGACCAAAATCGGCGTGCTTTATGCATTTTTGAATTGGGATTTGTATCAGCTAGCATAGCCTGTTCATATAGAGCAAAGTCTATATATTGCTGAATCAATAATGTTGACTGGTGGTGCGCGTCAATCCAGCATGCACGCTCAAATGCTTTAACGAATGATTTGCTTGAGGTGAGATCAAATGCTATGTGATGGATAGTAAAAATAATGAGATCATTTTCATGCAATAAATGATCATGACTTTTATCACCTCGCTCCACTACATGACATTTTACAACTCTTCCGTTCTCCACGTCAAAGTGTTTCCTAATGGATTCAGCCGTAAGTAGATCATCCAGTTGTTCCACTGTCGATATTCCTCGTGAATGTTGGAATAAGTAAATATCATCGGCAATAGGTTGAATATATTGTTCAATCTGATTAGTTCCTGGATTAAAACGAACAGCTGTACGGAGAATCGTATACCGTTCAATTACTGAACGTAAGGCCGAGCTTACACGTTCAATTGAGAGTGAGCCTTGTTTGATTAATAATGGAACTACAATATTGTAGACAGATAAATCGGAATCATGAAAGTATAGCTGGTCATGAAACCAAATTCTTTGTTGACCAAACGATGCTATAGCTTCTGTTCGACCCGAAATCATAAGCCGCTGTTCTTTCTGCACAATCGATCCTTTTGTTGCTTTTGCTGCTACTTTTGTACGTGAAAACATCGGTAACAAATAGATCGAATAATATTGATTGATTAGTTGTGTAAAATAGGTAGTATATGAAAATCTTAAAAAAACTATGAAGACGATGAAGAAAACAAAATCTGTACTTCAAAACTTGAAATAAAAGCTTCTAACTACCTAAATTCTTTTTCAGTTTATTAACTAGAAAAATAAAACTTGAATGTCCGTTATTTGACTCGCCAACATTTTATTTATAATAATCTTGTGAGTTTATTGGTAGTATTCTTCCTGATGATGTATGATAAGTCTTGCCGTTTACCATATAATTTGATGAGACTGTCAAACTACTGAAAAATATTCAGAGATTGACTAATGAACGAACATATTTGAGTGCCTTCTCTTTTTCAAAATACATTTAAAACTATACTATTGCGTAGGAATCTAAATGAATATCTCTATTACTAACTTCTTAGCTGCTTCCATTTACATTTGAAAACATGAGAAAGAATTAAATATTTTTATATTTATGCTTTTTAATTGTTGTTGTTACAATAGAGTGTGAGCGTGGATAAGGACGAGAGTGAGAGAGAGGCACCCTAACTCTCACTCACATCCCATATTC